GAATCCCATGATTTGTCAATTAAACAGGCGGACCTACACATTTGACAAATTTACACCGGGAGTCCATGTCATTTAACAGTCATCTAACAGACATAGAGTCCAGTTTGGAGTGACCTGGTAAATTCTTGTCTTCTCATCTTGAACACCAATATTTTGTGTGCTATAACTTTCAAACATACTTACCAACACGCTTTCAATGGGGGATTGAAAAAACCCATGGCCCAGGTTGGCAATCTCCATTGCACTTTCATCATTTGTAGGTACAAAAAAGGCAAATGATCAATTGTACAACTTTCAAAATAAGTTGTTTCATCATTTCAGCACCACAAAATTGTTCTGAAAAATCAAAAAAAAAACAAAAATTGTGTTCCCTGGATAGTGGGGGCGTGGGTCGTGGGCTTGGGTGCGTGGACTAGATTATCTTACACCAAGTTACACGATGATATTAGGCATGTCAATACATTAGTCAGTAAAGGGAACACATTGAAATGCCCATTTGGTGAAACCCTTACCACAAACCAAGGAATTTGTCAGAACTGTGTTCCTAGCTAGTATGATAGTGAAGTCGGCCACCCCGCTTTACAACACGAGAACAAGTTCTCGTTCATACATAATTTTGTGAACTTCAGGAGCCATCAACTGGAAGTTGATTAGGAGAGCAACAGTCTAATGGATGTGTTATTTGAACAGTTCCAAAAGCAAGATAAGAAACTTAAGATGCCTGCCTCCGTAGGTTGAGCAATGTCTCTTTCTCGTTTCTGCAACACTCTTACAAACTCATTTGCGCTTAAACTTCCATCACCATTTGCGTCAAAAAGGTGGAAGATGATTCCAATCACATTGTCAGTGAGAGAGACACCACATACCTGAATTGAGCAATCTCCATTAGGAATATTATGGTGATTAATTTGTACAACCAACTTAATAGAGAAATATATAAAAGAAGAATATCATTGAGAAAGAACAGAAATATAAATGGGAGGACAATTTATCCTCAAAAGAGATAACAAACTAAATTGGAGAAGGCAAGGAATTGAACAAAAGTCAATAGAAAACACATTAAGAAAGTAATGGAGCCCAGCAAATGTTTCGCACTGGAAATTCTGGATACAAATTCAGGAAAGAACTTGAGATAAGATTTATTTTTTCTATAGTTTTGGGAGGGTACAAGATTTCCAAAGGGTTGAATCTCTTTGATATAGATTTACTTTCCAAACTGTTCAGGAAAGTAAAACGATGATGTTGAATCTCTAAAATGACTTATACCATTAAAAAAATACTCTCTCCGTTCCTAAATTTCTGTCGTTTAAGGTTTTTGCACAGGGATTAAGGAAGCTATTAAATAGCTCTAATATGAGTAAAAAATAATTACACAAGACTAAAATACCCTTATTCAATACGTATTGAGAAGAAAAGGAATATGAAAGGCACTTAGCCTCCACCTAATCTAATGCATTGAAAAGTTATGGGTAAATTTGAAAGAAAAAAATATTAATTATATTTTGGTTTCATTAAACGACAGATATTATGGAACAAAAAAAATTGTGTAAAACGATAGATATTTAAGAACGGAGGGAGCAGTCAACAATAACTTGGGGAGATTAACAGAAAACAAAAAAACATTCACGTAATCAAGTACTCGCAAGCAAGGTCTGTAGGATTAAAAGTGCATGCAATAACCAGTACCAGCTAATGCAGAACTCGTCATGCTTAGACTCCTTATGAAAAAAGTCAATAACTCTAAAAAGAAAAGTAGAGAAAGAAAGAAAATCATATCAGTCGAGGACTACATCAGGAAGTGAAGTTTTGACAAAGAAAGGTAAACAATAACTGAAACAAAAAAATATGGAAAAATGAGTGTCGTACTTGGGAAGCAGCTCGCTGAAAATCCTTCCTTGTCAACAATCCATTTACTTCACAAAAACTGAAGAGGGCCAGAGAAAATGGCTGCAACTTTTTCCTCAGCTCTGCAAAGTTCTTGAATTCCTCAAATGTAATGCGTATATTATTCAGATTTGCCTCATTGTCTAAATCATCAACACGATCAAGCAACTTGTATAAATGTTTTATATCAGCAGAAGCAACCATGGACAAGCCAAAATCCTTTGCAGATATGGTTCCTTGTAATTTGTAGTCGTAATGTGCAAACTCCAATCTTAAAATCTACAATAATTGCATTTACACAATCAAAGAGGTGATAACTTAAAGAGTTAAGACAGCAGAAAGAACATAAACAAACTACTCGTACTTTTTTTAGATTTGCAACGCCTAAAGCAGGAAAGTCAGGAATAGCGGCATTAACCTGTATCAAACTAATTCTAGTTTCACCATCCCCTCTCCTCAGTTTATCAGTAATAGAACAATTATCAAGTTAAGCCTCCAAGAAATATATGAGCCAATGAAAAAAGTAAAGACCTCATAAAGACCTTAGTTTACTTCTTCGTCATGCTACCACACAACTCCAAGAATCCATGATGAGCATACAGTTAAAAATTTAAAAACTAATGAATTTAATGTAATACATTTGCATATGATGATCTATCTCAGATCTTCACTGCATTTTTCAGAGAAACACTGTCACACATGCAGGACTCTAATGACAGTCCACTCTAATTCTCTAATGCATTTTGGAGTCTTACCCCTAGTAGATTTAGGAGAAACCAGCAGCCTATGCATTTGTAGGTATTCTTACCATTCAAGGGTATTGTGCTATTGAATATTGCTACTGCTTCTTCCTTCTTCCTTCTTCTTCTTCTCCTCCTTCGGCAACTTACACTTGCATTCGGAAGTGAAAATTGCTCTTGATCAACCTAAATGAGTCATGAATTTCCTAATTTCGAAGTAACCGTCCCTTGTTCAGATTTAGGAGAAGTGAGCAGCCTACAAGTAAAACTATTCTTTCCCATGCAATGGGGTCCCAAGAGATTTAGGAGAAGCAAGCAACCTAGAAGTAACTATTATTTCTATTCATGGGGTATTGACTATTCGTTCTTCTTCAGTCATACTTGCATATGAGATGAAATTCAATCATCCAACCTAGAAACCTCAATTCACATAAACACCACTCCCATCTTCTAATCCTTTTACTTGCACACCTAAAAAAAACCCCAGAAAAGCCAAACTCACTGTTCACGTGAACTGTTCAAAGCATTCTGAACAGCCCAAAACTGTGCTTTTCTAGCCCTAATTTTAATCCCCAGAACACTCACCTCTTCCTTCCACCTTTTCATAGCCTTACAGCCCATACTTTTGACAATCTTTAACTCACAAGAACCAAGCATGAAGCAGCTACTAAAAGAACCCTTTCTTCCACTGCCCATGCATATTTTGGTACCAAAGACCTGTACTAGAGTATTAATTGCAGTAGTCCTGAATCAGTAAGATTATGCAAATGATATTTGTTGAGCATCATCTTCTCACTCATGCAGTTGACAGCATAGATAAAAAAAACCCAATCAAAACGCGATAATCACATGTTAAAATGCATGTATGTGTAGAAATAATATATTGGCTGGTTTGGGTAGGACAGCTTATTTCCTTGGGTGGCACTGCCTTAATTTCTAATAAATGTCATGTAGCCATGTTTGTCCTTGAGGCTCTGTCTGTGTTCACATAGGTTTGTCTTAAAATAAGAAACAATCAGTGAGTGTTCTCTCATGTATCCAACTCATCTTGCTGCCCTTCACAAAAAACAGTGATGAACATAGCAACATATTGAGAAGCACATATACATGTATATGTAACATAATATATGCACCTATCCATATATTCTCAAACTTATTAAAAGTCTGCATTTTCTGATTTTGAATGAGTGCCATTTGGGTATTGAAGGAAGTAGGAGGACATACTTCATCATGTAGATTTCTCAAGAATAGGACAAACTTTTCATGTTGAAGGCACTTCTTGCCATCTTTGCCAAAGAAGTACTCCATCAGGCCTCCATTTTCTACAGCACTACCCACTCTGAGCCCAGCTCGTAATCCATCGCTATGTAGAGCCCCTTGTCTATTATGAGCTCGCATCAACGCCATCACTTTCCTGAATTCCTCTTTATCTATCTCTCTAAAAGTGGAGAAAAAACGCCAAATTATCAGTACAGGAAATTAATTTTATTTTGTGTGTCTGTGTACATAAACAATAGAAAAAATGACAATCGGCCTAGAGAGATTTTAATTTTCTTTCTTGATATCAAGGGCAAATAGGGGAGATTTTCTTCTTCTGTTGCTAGGGTCGAGTTTCTGAAGACAATGTCTAAGATCCCATAAGGGCTCAAAACCAAGCACATGGTATCACCACTAAATGCAGGGGCGCCGTTTCCATTCTCTAGAGTTGTAAGAAGATGAGCCTGTGTGCAAAGCAATTCCTATCTCTTTTTGGTCGGTAGACCATTGGTACAAGGTTTGTATACTGTTGGTAAAGTGAAGTGCTAAATTGGGGCTACTCTCTCCTTCTTGTTCTCTTGTTTTTTTTCTGATTAGTTAATTGTTGAATTACTTAATTTGTTTTAGCTGATTTATTGCTTTGCTTAATTGCCTAACCGTGTCACTTATTTGTTTAACTGTGGACGTGCTTGGAGCTGGACTGTTTAATTGCTTAGCTGCTCGTAATTGTTCATGATTGCTTCATTGCCTATTTTGAAATTTCTAAATTTTGAAATGGCTAGATTGATCCAACAATCGTCTTGATTTGATGAAACCCACGTCTAAGCCCCAAAACACCTAGGCGCTTTAGTGTTCCTTGTGCCCTTATATTTTCTAAAGACATTGACACCCCTTCAGTTAATATGCTCATTCAAGTAAAACCCGTGCAATGATCTGCTGCCAATGACAGAGATAGAGCGATGATACCATGAAAAATTCTTCACGTACCATAAGCACAAAAACATAAAGTTGGCATTCCCATAGCCATTAGTGCCATTTGGAGACAAATGCTACTAACGGGTGCCGGTGTACTTGGGATAATCTACAACGAGCATGACTGTAATTTTTCAAAAACCAAACATCCAGTAATTTGTCATAATAGGCTGTTAGCAAAGTCCTAGCCTTAACTCTAATAAAATAGACATCCTAAACCATGGTTCAAGGTTGCGGTATCGGTCACCGACTCAGAGGGAACTGATACAAATCAGTTGCGGCGCAGTATCGGCCGATACGCTCAAAACGCTAGATAGAAACTCCAAAAAAAATTTGAAAAAATTATAGAAAATTCTAAAAATATAAACATCATCATTCATGCATCATATGTCCACAATATATCAAAAAACACATTAAATATAATTAAAATAAAACATAAAGACGCTACCGAAAATAATTTTAATATTTATGTATCTAATTATTACATTAAATATTTTACTAATTTATAAAAGAGTAAATTTAATCTAAATAAGTTTTGGTAAAAACTAAACTGAAAAATCTACTACCCATAAAAAATAAATTAACCACACTAAAACTTAAGCAATTACCCATATTTGTTCATTGAGACTTTTTTAACCAAAAAAAATTCACTAAGACTCAAAAAAAAAAAAAAAAAACAGTTGTTAAGAGTTAAAGGAGTCGAACCTATGACTTTCTAGTTACAAGCTGAGTCCTTACCCAGTGAGCTACTGATTTTATATGACTTTAAAGACTAATATAAGTCTTTTTAACACTCAGTTAAAAAAAAGGAAGCAAGACTTATATAAGTCTTTACTATTCTCAGACGCTTCATGTTATCCAGCCTCAGACGCTTCATGCGTTTCAGTCTCACATGAGAGGAGTGAGAAAGAGAACAACACTCACCAATAGATAGAAAGAACTAGCACTCACAGACAAAGAGAGAAAGATCTACTCAACGCAACTGGCGATTCTCTACCTATCGTCAAACCAAAGAAGAAAGATGAACAGAGGAAGCAAAACAGAAGAAGAAAAAAAATATCCCTATTTGGTTCAATCTATAGGTATGTTGTGAATCTTTAGTCTTCATGACTTTTTTAGTTGCAAAAGAGGGATTTAAATTACAAATTTCATGTGATTTCTACCATGTAGGGTTAATTTTCATATGGGTTTTTGACGAGAGTGACAGACTGATAGTGGGTCTTTTATTTCTCATTCTTTTTTTTTTTTTGGATTTATGTTAAATTTTCGGGGTTTGATTGAGTGATTTTTAGGCTTTTACAGATATGAGTCTTGGATTTTTGCTCTTTCTCCTAGATTTTAGGGGATTTTTCATGGGATTTGTTCGTCTCAAAACGAGTTTGATAAGAATCACCCGAGTTGAACCAAGATATCACCGAGTACCTCTGATTTCAGCCGAAACGTACGAGTTGAACCGAGATATCGCCGATATTAGTTCAATGTGTGATTTTTCTGTTTCACATACCGTTATCATATCGAGAGTGGCAGAGTCGAATACTCCTTGGCCGATACTTTGAACTATGTCCTAAACACAAAAGTATTCTACGTTACATGCTCCATGGGAGCAGTTCCAGAGTGTACCCATCTTTCAATCTATTTTTTAGCTAGGACAACTCCAAGGAAGATGGCACAAGGGAGTATCTCTATTTCAAAATATGATGCAGCACAAGTGGATATAATGGTGGATTTGGACAGAGAAAAAATATTTTATTAATGGTTCTAACTTCTAAGCCTTACAAATGAGAATAGGTTGGATTTATCCCAGCTTCAAAAGTGATGGGTTGTAGAACTTTCATGTTTTAGTTCTGGTTTCCCTTGTTAAATTGACGGAAAAAAGGCTTAGGGGAAAGACCAAAATTGGCTAGAGCTTTGACTGGTGGAGTTTAGAAAAGAAGCAAAGAAGTAAAAGAATAGATAAAGTTCCCTCAAATCTAGCATATTAATATTAAAAGTAGTTTAGTTGTTTACTTATTTTATGTTGTCCAACTATATAAGGGTTTGTATTGTGTATCCCAGATAATGTGTGCTACATAAACTAATTGAGTTGAAATAATAATCTTTCCTTCACTGTTGTATTTCTCTCTTCTTTTCAATTATGAAATCAAGATTATCATGGTATTAGAGCATGTTTCGATACTATGGAGGCTTAGGAACACTACTATGCTCACGCCCCGCGCGGGGAGGGGGGGGGAGGGAAATCTGGGTTCAACTAGGATTGACGTCATCACTGCCAATGATGACATCATCAACCAGCAACCACTGCAGCCACCACTCTGATCGATATGGGCTTCGTAATGGTATGGTTTGCTATTGATTTTGTGATCGTTTGATAGGGTTTTTGATTTTCAAATGTTCTTTGAAAAAAATTGGGTCAAAATTTTTGATATAGGTTTTTTCACCACTGTTCTTTATATTCATTGGAGCAAAAAAGGTTCGATTAGGTGTCTTGTTTACTCAGTTGTAGTATTCTAATCAGTTGGGATGATTTTCTGAAAGCATCCCAATTGCATTTGTCACTCGGCTGAGGAGTTGTTGGCATCAGTATTGTGTGTTTGTGGCTAAGGCATTTGCCAACTGTGTTGGCTCATCCTTGCTCTTATTCATGACCTTCTCCTGCCCTGCTGCTACTCACGAATCACTCTCTGGATTCCTCCTAGCAGTGAACTCTCTGGTTTGTCCATTGCTGCATCTTTTCTTCTTCATGTTGGTAGTATTATCAGCCTATTGTTTACTTGGCTGCTGGATTTTATTGTTGGACTTATGATTTTTCTTTCCTTGTTGGGTTATTGTGGTTGGGCTTTGGTTGTATTATTGGGCTGTTGATTTTCTTGCTCGACTTTTGGTTATTCCTTGGTGATTCTCTTTTTTCTTGTCAAAATAAAAAGCAAGCTATTGTTGCACGTTCATCAGTTGAAGCAAACAAGTCTTCTGTTCAAGTTGGAATCCGAAAGGACCAAAACAACTTGGTCACCATGTTTACTTTGCCACCAAGTTCTGCTTCGTCTCAAAGTCTTTTTACTATGTATACATGTGATGTAATAGCTTTATTTAAGAAAATGTAGAATGGTCTTGCCTGAAACATTTTACATTTCTTATTTGGCTGTGAATGCCTAATAGATTCAAGCTTTCCTTAGGGGGTTCATCCTAGGGAAGTCTAGATGGGCTTCTTAGATTCTTCTTCTCTTCACACTAGTGTTCTATAAATTCCATCATACCAAGCTCTAATTGACTCCCAACCTTTTCCCCACCTAGCCCTTCAAGTCAACATCCAAACGACTAACTCTTTTAGCATGCAGCACTCTAAAACATTAAAAACCTGTAACACATCATTTTAAAACAAGCCATATCCAACCCATTCTCATCCCTATGACCTATCACAAACCTCCCACCTCCTAGAAACGGTAACCCACTTAGAAAAAAAAAAAATCAAGCAGTCTAGGAATAACACTCTTAAGATAAGGATAAGAAGACTCTAGGAGTAGTTACTAGGATTAACCCCCAAGTTATGGTTGCATTGCTCAGGTAGGTAAGTTGCATCTCTTGGGTATTCACTCCAAAAGAGACAGACAACTACAAAAAAATATAAAGCTATTACATCACATAGAGCAATAACACTTGGAGAAGTAGTCTTGGATTAAAAGCTGGACTGGGGCCTTCTTTAAACCTTTGACTCATCAAACTTAACACAAACATAAACGAAAAAGCTCCACATAGCAGCCAACTTCAAAGAGAAAATATTTGGCTCCTCAAACTTACTATTCAAGTTTATAACAACATGAATAGTAAAGATAACTAAATTTAGCCCTAAAGATAACTAGAGACAGCCTTAAGCATGCTCCAAGCAAAAGAGAGGGCAACACTGTCAAAGCTATTTTTTTTTCCTTTTGGGTAGGGGGATACTAAAAGGCATGAATATTCAAAAGTGGTAGTAGGCTATTGTTACCCCCTTAGCCATTGGCAGCATTTGGCATTGGGTAGCCTCGCCCATAGGCACCCATGCCTTAGCCAAAATGGCAGAAGTCCCATGCATGACTGAGGGAGGCAATCCATGCACATGGGTACGTGGGCACAAGTCAGCATGCAAGCAAGGAAGCAGGCGGTTTGAATTGTAGGGCGATGCTAGCTTGAATAATGAGCCA